CATCTGGATGCCGGAGAGACGTATACTTACCTCGGGGTGGAACAACGCCACTCACAAGAGGTAACTGCAGTGAAAAACTCTCTCCGCGGCAAGTATCAGCACAAACTTCGACAGATCTGGTCATCGGAACTGTCGGGGAAGAACAAAGTAGCTGCAACAAATATGCTTGCCGTTCCAATCTTACTCTACTCGTTTGGAGTAGTGAAGTGGACTCGGGAGGAGCTGTATCAACTCGACGTAAGGACCCGAAAAATGATGCATCTCTATAGGAGTTTGCATCCCAAATCGTCCGTTCCACGGTTGTACTTCCCCCGACAACAGGGAGGTCGTGGACTTTTGAGTTTGGAGTGTCTACATGACAGAATGGTACTGGATACAGCCTGTAAAGTCGTCAGGAGTTCGGATCCCCTTCTCTGCATGGTCCGTGACCATGAGAGAGCAGGAATTGGAGCATTTCTCCTTAGGGCAGCTGCTCGAGCAGCTGATGAACTCGGTATAGTTTTCGACTCTGAACGAGGTGACTACAACTCTGTCACCGAGTTGGAACCCGTTCAGCAAAAAGCTCAGATAAAAGCCGCAGAGATCACCTTACTTATGCGAAGACACAAGGATAAGCCACTGCATGGGGTCTTCTTCAATAACATTGGAGACTTTGGGTTATCAAAGCGCTTGACGTTTGCTATTCTCAGGTCGAGTGGGCTGAAGTCGGAAACTGAGGGGTTCATTATGGCTTGCCAGGGTGGCTATCAGCATGTCCAGCATATGCAGTCTCGGCCTATATCCATCGACATAACGCGGCAAATAGTGAAAGTAAACAATACTCTCAGTTCTGGAAGAGAAATTACTCATGGTATACCACAGGGTGTTGTGATAGGACCTATATTATTTTAATTATATATCAACAGCCTACTTGCCATGAAGATAGATGGTTCTATTCACAGTTTTGCAGATGATACGGCCATAATATATGCTGATGATAATAGGGAAAAATTGAAAATGAAAGTTGGAACCCAAATTAATGTATTGAAAGACTGGTTTGATCATAAGTGAAGTTTGTAAGATTACAAAATAATTTCCTTAACTATGGCTCCATGTTAAAAGCGCCTTCAACATTACCAAAACCTTTTAATTCAAATGAAGACAGTACTGTTAACGTTTTGGCATATTTTTATGCCAAAACGTTGCTAAAATGTAAGTAGAAATATTCTTCTACGCTGAGGACTGAAACTTCTCTCTCTCTCTCTCTTTCTCCAGCCATGAATCAATATATTCCCAAGTTTCGTTCGAATGATCATACCTAGATGTCGCCACTTTTAAGTTTTTCTCGAATTTCATTTTCCAATATTATTCAAACAGCTTCTAGGAAGCTACTGGAATTTTATGTATACTACAGTTTTCTACATTTGATACAATTCATTTATATGATTTCTCCTAGAAGGCGAAAGCTGTTGCGATTGGATAATATTACATTTAATGCGTTCTTTCATTTTTATGAATTCACGAAATATTTGGTAATATTGGAATTATTCGTTGGATTAACAAACTAGTTATATTTGTATAAATCGATGGATGTAGCCGTTACTACGTGGAAGGAGATCATCACCATGAAAAATGAGAAATAATACTTTTTATGTTTTATACCACTTCTATTTGTGCCTTGTTCACAACTATAGTGAGCAATAAACCATAAATATGTGAGAAAAAGTAAAACAAATTATGAAATTAAGAAACAACAAAAATTAATTGGCGCTCCGGGGCGACTTGATTGCTTTTTCAGCTGCAGAAAAACCTGGAAAAACCTGCAGCAACTTATCATCTGGAGATCTTGATTTGCCAATGTCTTCTCTTCCAAAGAATAAAATGTAGGGTGTCTCCAGAGGCTCTAATGAATTCAAGATGGTGCCAGAATGCTTAGCGACACGACAATCGTCTAGCCTTAACCAGTCCGTTTCGTCTTTGACCAAGACGTAATAATGACCAAATTCAACGCCAGAACCACAGTGAACAATGACTGCATGAATATTATAATAGT